GAGGTCTCTTTACGCTCTTCTGTTGAAGGGGCAACTTGAATTTCAAGTTGTTTTAAAGCCAAATCTTTACCGGGCTCCCTTTCAGGAAATGCACTCCCCGTGACTTTTACCTCCTCAAGAACTCTGAGTTCTTCATAAGTCTCTTCTCGCCCTTCCAACAAGTCAGCATTTGATCCATTTTCTTGTGCCTGTAAAAAGGCCTTAGTTAAATCATTTAATTTCCCATCTACTAAGAGCAGTTTGTGGCCATTGTGGATGTTGATATAGCTGTGGGTCATCAAATGGACCATCAGCCTTTCATCTTCGCTCCTTGGCAGAGAGTCACTTTGCTCTTCATGACCTGGAGGGCCTCTTCCTGCAGAGCTCAGGCTGAGTTTGCTTCTAGCTGGAGAGCCCGCCAGCTGTATGCTGGGCATCATGTCGGGGATAGCAATTGATTTTAACCTTTTCGCAACCCCTCTCTCCAAGACGCCCTGCTCCACTGCCTTCTTCCAGGACAAGATCTCGGTGGTTTCCGGAACGAAAAGAGCCTGGATGAACTGTCTCTTGCTGAGAACCTTGCACGCCAAGTCTGTCGACAGGAGGCCTTGTTCTAGGGCATCTGCAACAGGTAGGATCTCACCTGACTCGGGCCACAGCAGCCCCATAAAGGACCAAAGGGATTCCAGGATCACCAGAGCAATCCTGGAGGCTACTAAATCCTTCTCCACTGCCTCATCGATGGTCAGTCTCTCTCCTGTGATGGTGTCTATGATGCCACCTGTCTGCACTTGTCGGATTAAGAGTGCACATGCCATATCCTGATCAATCAAATTATGTCTGACTGCCTCGTCCACTGTCAGCCTGTGCCCTGTCTTGGGGTCTACAATGCCACCAGCAAACAGCTGGGCTTCCAGTAACCTCACAGTTACTTCCCTATCAATTAAGCCTTCCTGGACGGCACGGAAGATGCTAACTTTCCTGCCTGATTTCCTGCTCACCATCCCCCCTGCCAGCTGCTTGACGGGGAGCAACCGGAGGCCAGTCTCCTGGTGAACGATGCATCTCTGCATTAGCTCTGTCAGGCTGATTTTCTCGGCAGTGTTGGGGTCGATCAAATCCCTGGCTGATCTTAGATGAGATACCAGTTTTGAATGAGTCTGAGTGGTAATGAGGCCTTTCTGAAGAGCCTTCTCCGTGCTAATTCTGTCCCGACTTGAAGGGTCTATAAAACCCCCTGTGACGAGGTGAACTTCTAATATCTTCAGGCCAAGGCTCTCACTAATTTTCTGCTCCTCTATCGCAGCAACAACAGGCAGAAGCTGTTTTCTTTCAAAGCTCATTTGATCTATCAAATGAAGGGCCTCCTGCAGCTCCTGCAACTGCTGGAGCATCCTGTCATCAACAATGTTTCTTGCCAGGCTTTCTGCCAAAGACAGTTTCTCGCTGGTCTCAGGAACAACCAAGCCAGACATGATAAGCTGAGCTTCCAGCAGCACAAGACCTGTGTCCTGGTCTATGAGACCTTTCTGCATCGCACCAAAGACAGGGAATATCTCCACTGTGCCAAGGTCTATCACTCCTGCGACTGTTTCGGTCCCCTAAAAATGGAAAGAGAAAATAAAAAACAAATCAGAACCACAGAGGCTGGGGAAAGCAAGCTGGCCGAGTAACTGCAAGGCATCAAGTTCAGAGATGTCTCTATTTCCAAAAAAAATAGTTAAAAGAAACCCCCTAGACTAGAGAGCAGATCCCAAAGTGCAGCTCCCAGTGCATCCCAGCATCTGGATGGCCTTGCACGTCATCAGCTGTGTTTTAGGGCTCAGTTTAGTCTACCACATGGGGCAGCACTGAGATATTTCAGACAGCCACCAGGATAATAATGCAGCAAAAGCAGCAAGCAGCAAAAACCTGCAAGGTTTTCCAAAGTGATCAACAGAAAGAGAGAGAAAAACACATGAAGACAGACACACTTCAGCCTTTCAATACTGCAGTTCAAAAAGACAAAATGAAGCCCATTTTGTGCTATCCTTATTCACCTTTGGGGCTTCAGAACTGCCCTGCTGTGTTACTGCTCCTATCTATGCTCCCCGCCATGCACAAATAATACTCTTCACTTAGCAGATGTGCAGTGCCAGCCACCGATAAAAAGAAAGGAAGCCCATGGCATCTCTCAGCCTATCTACAGACCAGCCATGCACCAAAGAGCAGTGAACTTGCTTCTGACCATGCAAGAGGGCTCCAGTGGTGCATCCTCCAGTACTAACCACCACGATTTCCCTCGCTGTAGCATATCAGAAATAGCCGTGCTCTTTAGTAGGCAAGGCAAAGCCTCAGGAAATAATACAGCTCTTGGCTACAATAGGTCCCAGAGTGGGAAACCATGTGATTGGGACAGAGGCTCGCATGGCATATGGTTCAGGTATTTCCAGAAAGTCTTTTCTCTTGCTGGTAGTAGCACAGGAAAAGGAGAGCAAGTTTCTTGCAGAACCCCATGGGAATAAGTGCTTCCTACGCTGCACATGGTCTAGGTACCAGCTTGCACAAACTGCTGCTTACGCAGAAGATGGACACACGATGCTGGGCGATTCCCTTGGGGATACATGGAAGGAGGAGCTGGGAATCTCAGCTTGGGGAACTATGGAAGGCATTTAGTTTGTACCGGTCCGAGGAGCTAAGAGCTCTCAATCAGGAAATGTGTCACTGGAGGACTACGTGGCTGCTGTGCTGCTGGGGTAAGATGGCCAAGGATGCTTTAGTTTTTCCCCTTGTCCTGATTCATTAAAGAACCTTTGAATTTTTTATCACCGCCACCAGAATCAAACCCGAAAGCTTGCAAAGGAGAATTTTTCCAACGATTTGAGTCGGTCTAATGAAAGACATCAGCTTCACCCAAAGACCCTTGTCTGCCTGCGTCCTTAGACCAACACGGCTACAACCCGCACCCCCACAATCAAACATGCGCATTGCACACCGAACAAGCCGGAGGAGGACAGAGGGAAAGAGAAAGTGAGAAAGGACATAAAAAGCTTTTACTTACCAGAGTTGCAGGGTGTGCCTTGAGCAGTTAAAGACAGAGCCTTATGGAGCAGCTCAGGCGTGTCACGCACACAGTGTAAAGCTTGGGGTTAGCGTCCAGCATGCGACTGTTTTGTTTTGCGGAAAAAAGAGCCCCACACACGGGTCGTCCTCTTTGTCACTTTGTGGGGTTTGGGGTTGTGTGTTTAGAGTCCGGAGGGTTAGTTAAACTTGTAAGCAAGGATGTCAGTTAATCTCAACAATAGTTGACATGAAACACAAACTGTACAGGGACACATCATGCTCAATGTAGCGCGCTCTGTAGTTCGGCTTTTTGGGGTTTTTTTGCTTTTGTCTTTTGAATTTTACAACCTTTCACAGAGTCGGATGTTTCCAGCAAGCAAATGTTAAAATATCCTTCATATGCTCCCTTCTACAATGAAGCAACTGTACCAAAGGATAGCCTCAACGATGCGCCTTTCCCACGGGCCAAGTATCTACAGCAAAGGCCTAAAGGGGCCTCTTCAGAAGAGCTATAACCCTCCCCTCGTTTCGGGCTTCCCCAGGAGTGCCAGCGAGCCTGCTCTTTTCTTATAGTCTTGTTATTCAACAGGCTGTATGCAGGGGGTCCTGCCACAACCACACACCCAAAGACACCTCCTCCTCAAAGCAGAAATGTCTTTCCATGCTGGTTCAATAAAACACAGCAAAGTCAAGGGAAAACTCTGGTAGGAAAACATTTGCTTTCATGGGGCTGAATCAGGGAAAGGCAAGAATGAACGCCTTGCACCTTTTTAAAGTACAGGGCTGTCCTTAGTCTCCTTTCTGGCAGCAGGGAAGGTAGCAATAATGATGTGAAAGCTTCACTGGTGAGGCTGGTGGCTTAGAGGCCAGGAGCCTTGTGTCTGCAACGTTGTCTGCTGCTGGAAAGTGAGCTAAAAATGACCCGGCTTAAAAAAAGAACTGGATGGAGACAGCTGAAATGTTTTAACACACCGCTACGGTTTGCTTTACTTCTGTGCACGCAGCACTGAAAATGATAGGAGCCTGAAAAATGCCAAACTGTCACCCTTTTCTCTGGGTCTGGAATGGGATCTCGCTCCCTCGCCAACCAAGTCTGAGTTTTGGCTATCACAAAAGCATATCTGAATTGGCCAGTGCTTCAAAGTACAGGGAGCTAGCAAGCAAACACACAGAGATATCCATTGGACACATGTATATACACTTACATACACATACAGGTATATCCATGAATGACTGAAGACAGTAAACACCAATAACAGAGGCAATAAGAAGGAACTTCAAACCCTTCCCTCCCCATGCACAAGTGCAATGTGAAATGGAGACCGACAGAAATGTCACTGGATGGGAATGGGTGATGGACAGGGGTCCAGCCACTGAGTCAGTGAAGGTCTCAGCTTAGCTGAGGGCCTATGGGGGCTGGCATTCAAGACGGAGAGGAGCTCGCTTCCACGCTGCTCAAAGCGGGCGCACGGCTCACTAAGCCAGCTTCGCAACGTGTGCATGGACACGTGACGAGGGTTGCCCCGTGCATCCATCCTCAAGCAGATACCATCCTGCTGCAAAATGCAGTGACAAAACCTTTGCAGGTCATTTTCCTTAAGGAAAACCCAGTGACCACTGTCACGCTTTGAGAGCAGAAGTCCGTCTCAAACCTGCTTCGCTGCAAGAGCAAGTCAGCTCTGCAGCCCAGGGAGCAGCTCCCATTAGCTGTACTGCAGGGAACCGTCTCCTGCTAACCTGGAACTGAATACGGAAACCTCTTCTGCTCGGCCTCTAGCAACCAACTCAGCCCGGACCCCCTAGTGCAATGTATGGGACAGAATGGAAGGGAGGCAGATCACGTGCGATTAATAACAAAGCCAACGGGCTGTGAATGGCTGGTGGTCGTGAGGCACGCAACCAAGCAAAGCCTCTGTCACACCTGGAAAAAAGGTCACGTATCGTATTTAGGCAGCTCTTGGATAGAATGGGAAAGGTACCTTGTTCTCGGTCTCCTGAGCCAGCTGGCTCTGAAGTTGTTGGAGCTGTTCTGTGGAGTCATTGCAGAGCTGCTGGTAGGTCTCCTTTAGAGCACTGAGTTGGGTAGAAATCTGCTCCTTCTCATAGTCAGAGAGCCTGCAAGAGGGGGACGCAAAGTCTCTCATTACATCTAGAGAAAACAGCACTCAGCTCCGTGAATTCAGGATTTTGTTCGAAGGAAAGAATCCCGCAAGCACAGAATGTTGCTGCCAAAAGGCCAAGCTAACGATGTGCCATGGAGACCGTGGCACTTAATGTGCTAATGGCACATAAAAGCCATGCTAATTACGTGCCATAGCCATCGTCCCATCACAACCTGAACTTGTCCGTATCACAAATGTGTGCTCCATGGTCCCATTCTCCTTTTTTTTTTACTGACCACTACACGTTGTACTTACTTGTGGCTATGTTTGGCTAGGAAAATCTGGGCAGTTTTGATGGCCTCAGAGACTTGCTCCTTTTTTGTAGCTAGTTCTTCGTTTAGTGCCTGTTGAAAAGAAGAGGGAAGCTACAATTCAGAGGTGGGAAACACAAGCAGAAACTGCAGAAGTGCTCCAAGGTTATAGCCTATGCACAGCACTGCAGCTAAAAGCATCCAGGCTGCTTCGCTTTCAGTTGGAAACAGCAAAACAAAGTTTTAGTCTGTACAACATCAGCACGAAGACAACCAGACCCTCAATGTGCGTATGCCAGAGAGATGGAAGGAAGCAGGATCCCGGCTTTACCTGCTGCTCGGAGATGGATTTCTCAATGTCTCCCAGCTCTTTGCCCTTGGGTGAGACAGCCTTGACTTGCGCGCTCTGCTTCAAACCAGAAACCCAGGCCAGGAGTTCTTTCACCTTGTCCACGTGCTCCTGTTTTTCTTCCTCAACTACTTTCTACAGGTGGGGAAGACAAAGATAAACCATGTTAATGAAAAGGCAGACCCAGAATTCCCAGCACCAGAGACCAGCAACAAGCAGGCAGGATCTTTTGGGGGACAGATCTGACAAACTCCACATGTAAAGCTGCAAAGAGGACAATTTGGGGCTTAGGCAGCAGGTAGCCATTTGTAGATGCGATTAAGTGAGCCTGCGTGTTCTGCTTATGCCAATTCTTCATTTGGTTCTATAAAATAGTCTTACTTCCTCCTCCTCCAGCCGCCGGAGAGCATCGCTGATGTACTTCACGTGCTGGGTCGTTAGTGTCACCAGAGCCGTATAGCGAGTCCGTAAATCCATGAACTAAGGAAAAGAACAAAGTGCAGATTTCAAACCCCCCGAGGTCACAGAGCCACAGTACTTTGCAGGACACGACACGGACACAGCACCTCTTGTCCAGACGGATCCCAAGCACTTCCCAGGTGAGACATGTTATAGCACTGCTGACAAGCAGCTCTGAAATGGGCGGCAGTGGCCACCTGAAGCACAGCAAGGAAGCGAAAGGTAGATTTGGGTCCAAGACAATGCACTGAACCCCCTACGCTCTTCTGAAAATGGCCAGGGGATCTTTAGAGTCCATATGAAGCAGACTGGACCTTGGCTCTCAGAAGTCCACACGCAGCATAAAGTATGTACAGTAGAAAGTACGCTATTGACTTTGGACGGACAAAACGCTGAATTGACCCTTTTGGGATCTGAACTTGTGCTCCGAGGGTCTAGGTCAGATTCAAACTTCTAGAGTCTGGTTTCCTGGCCTCATAATGCAGAGCAGTGGGGAAAGGCTCCTCTCCTCTTAACTAAACTAGCAGGAAGCAGCTCGTCTTCCCCTGTCCCCAGCACCTGTTTTTATTAGCCAATAATAATAAAAAAAACCCCCACTCTTCCCCTACCAGGCTGGAGCTGGAAGGCAAGCAGACCCCTCACCTCTTGCGTGATGGCATCTGAAGACGACAGCATGCGTCTGCGTTTCACAGGAGACTTCTGCTGCGATTCAACAAATGCCCTGTATGTCATGAGCTGCAGCTCGTAGTCCTGGAAGTTAAAGGCAGAAGGTGATTTTGTGTTTGAATGTTTAACGAAGCTCAGCGTTTTGGAGTCCCTGGGCAGCTCATTCAACCGACCTCCCACCACTCGGTGCTGGAATCACTGCTGACGACAGCCGAGGAGTTTTTTCTCCTTACCGGCTTATGAGAATGGAAGATGAAGAGAATATCCCCTCCCGCCCCCAAGCCCCGGATCTAGGCAGTATGTTGTTACCTTGACAGCAGCCGAGTACTGCTGTGAGAATTTCTGACACTGGTCCAGTTTGGCTTGATTTCTCTCGATTTCTGCAACCAAAGCCTTTGACAAAAGAATTCAAAAGCAAAACCATTATCAGAACAACTGCTGCAGGTGCAGAGGGCTTCCTTCCCCCTGCCATTTTACCTGAGTTTTCCCCTTTCATCCTCTTTTTACGCATAGCCCCATTTGCTGTCCTCTCACACTTGCTCAGAGGTGCCAAATTAGGTTCCCAGTTAGATGGCTCTGCTGTCTTCAAGCAGAAACAGAGCAAGTGATGCCTCTGTCTTTCCTTCATCCCATCAATCAGAGACACAGCTCAAGGTCTCTTTAAGGATGCTTTGGTCTGACAAAAGGCCAAATGCATTGAAGGGCCTTGATTACCAAATAGCCACATTAATCTCAGCTCCATTCAGAACCCAGAGTGGAGGACGGCAATGTTTGTCAAATGGGAAAGACCAAATCAATAGACTACATCTCCCTTTCTGGAATCCCCTCTCCTGGAGCATTTGCTCATCGGTTGTGAAAGGAGCTCGAATGAGAGCAGTGGGGACTTTAAACTTACTAAAAAAAACCAGGCAGAAATAGCTCTTCCCCCATCCTGCCAACAAACTGCAACTCTGAAACCCTTCAAGGAGGGAGAAGGGAAGCGAGCTCAGTCTCTCTAGCCCATTTCATCCACACGAGCACTTTCTACATCCACCTACCTAAGGTACTTACATAGTACCTTACTGTACTATGTACCGTTACTTACTTACATAGTATCTTACTGTACTGTACTACCTTACTTACATAGTACCGTTACTGTAATATCCGAGTGCTCTGTAATTTTTGATGCATTTATCCTCCCAACACCCTTGTGGGGTAGGAAAGTGTCACTGCGATCTGCATTATGCTAACCCCCGAGCCATCCTTCCTGTCTCCTTCCAGTAAGCCTACTAGGAACGGCAGGTCACAGAACAGGCATCGGGTGATGGTAACTTTTGGAATTAGCCTCCTGGGGTGTATTTTATCGGGCTAGCGGTTGGCAAAAGCTTGTACATCTGACTACAAACCCATGCATCAGTCAAGCCTTGCAAGGCTCATCTCACAACACAATGTTTTACTAGAATCATCCTGGACACCAACGCCGCTCTAGTGAGAAAGGCGCCACTTCGGGCCTTACCGTCTGCTGGCTCAGCTGCTCGGACAGCACTCTGCTATCTTCCGCCTGCCCCGGTTTCATCAACTCCTGCTGGGCGGTGGTCTCCTCGATCCACTGGATGAGCGCCCCGTGACACTTGCGGTAATCACTCAGCACCTCCTGGATGCTCTCCAGCTCTGTATGGCTGAAAGGAGAAACCGAGAGACAGAGAGGGAGGGAGCTGTCACTACACCTGAATCCTTGTGTCAAAACAGTCCAGACCTGGCCAGATAAACAGAACGTCTCCAAATCCCCCCGGGGATAGTTAGAGAGACCTCGTGTTCTGCTCTGGGGCGAAGGGGGAGCCTTTTCAAGCGGGGCTGCAGTGTGCAGCTACTGGAAACAGAGCCAGCCAAAATAAAATTATTCCATAAAAACTGCACCGAGAGGCCGTAAAAGGTATTCCAATGCGAAGCATCCTCTGGCAGAGAGCAGCAGCTACAAAGCTTGCCCACAGGATGGCAGATTGTCTAAAACCAGCAAGGGATGGAGCCAGGAGAGGAGAGAGAGACAAAGAGAAGGAAGTTCCACCTTCCCTTCAAAGGGGGAAACAGCTCACAGTATCCACCCGCGAAGAACAACACCGCTAACCCCAAGCAGCCAGAGCGAGAAGGCAGCAGCATCTCACCGGGTCTCGATCTGAGAGCAAGCTCTCTGCCAGCGATCCCACAGCTGGCTCCCCTTCTCCTGGTAGCGCTCTAGGTCGAGGCTGCGCTCTTGCTTCATCCGGTATAGCTCTTCTCCCACAGTCTTCGCCTTGGCGATGTCCTCTTCCAGCGTGGATAACACAGAGCTCTTGTCCTTCACTTCACTGAGCCATTGCTTTAACAAACATCAAGCCGGTTCAG